TTATTCTAATAATTTCAACAGGTGTCGACTAGATAATTATAGACCACGTTACATTTCAGTTATTCTAATAATGTCAACAGGTGTCGACTAGATAATTATAGACCACGTAACATTTCAGTTATTCTAATAATTTCAACAGGTGCCGAGTAGATAATTATAGACCACTTTACATTTCAGTTCCTCTAATAATAGCAACATATTTTAACTAGGCCACTAACCAACAAATTATATTTTGGTTATTCCTAACAATGTTGTCATGTTGGAGCTGTGAATTCAATAAGATAAAACAACCATTAATCAGTACAATATATTTGTGAAAGAATAATCACAAAACTCTGATTTTAAGCTAACTATTCAACAAAAATGATTATAGCTAATATGGAGTAATTAATTATAAAAAAAAATGTTTGATAGAATGGAATAACTGAGAAAATAAATCTGTTTTAGAAGAGAAGGTGTTTTAAATTTTGAGTTTTGACATCACGAGGCTTACACCTGCCCCAGTTGCTCAGCAGTAAGTCTGCAAGCTTACTACGCTAAAAATTGGGTTTCGACACTCGTTGTGGGTAGAACACTAATAGCCCATTATGTGGCATTGTGTTCAACAACAACTAAACCGCAAGGTTTACGACAGATGTTATAATCTAAACCAACATGATTATACCTCTCGTCACCAGCTATTGTAAATATTCACCACGAGGTTTACAATAAATGTTGTAATTTAATCCAACATGGTTATACCCCTCGTCACCAGTTATTGTAAAAATTCACTACGAGGTTTAAAAAAATTGTTGAAATCCAAACCAACAAGGTTACACCTCGCCTCACCAGCTATTCAATTCATCACAAGGTTTACGGCAGGTGTTCTAATCTCAACTTATATGTTTGCACCTTGAGTTGACTGTGAAATGAACGGCTACTGTTTGTTAGAGAAACACTGGTAGAAATACATTGGTGTCCACACACAATTAACTTATGCAACTCGGTTGCAGTAGACGACATTTCGAATGTTTTCCGCCTTTCATTTTCAGGTACGGTTTTCGTCATCAGCTATTGTGAACATTTATTCAGTTCTTATCAGACAAAATACCATATCCTGTAACGTGTTAGTCTCACTATCTCTCTTATCTCACCATCTTGTGCTATTATATTTCCTAAAGCAGTTATATCGACGGTTAAGTTGATAAATTCAAACTACTCGACAACATTTACACTAACATGTTGAAAATGACAAAAACATCATTTTTTCTTCAGAGGAATTCTTAGAGGTGAATATTTTTGTTGGGTGTGTAACGTTTCAATTTAGAGGTGAATATTTTTGCTGGGTGTGTAACATTTCAATTTAGAGGTGAATATTTTTGTAACGTTTCAATTTCTTCCAGTGTTTTTTTGTAAACAACTGGCATGTTTACTTTACGCAAGCCCATCTCTTATATTACGACATCGTGTTAATATCAATTCGAAAGTTGGACACCCTATCGTGTTAATATCATTATTAATCGTACTTTCCACATGCTAAAAACAACTTCGTTGTCATTTTATTCACCGACACACTTCATTGAAAAGACAAATATCCAAGAACATCGGTGTTGGTAAAGTCAAAGGATGAGAGTCCGCTCGCCCACCACAGGACCCTGAAAACAAAGAAACACATTAAATAAAGACCAAGCCAAAGTGAAGGATACGGTTAAGAAAGTGAACCCACCGAAACAACAAAAACAGTACGATAAAACGTTTCCTAGTATTTTGAACAAAACAAATTAAATAGGACTCTAAAGTTCCTACCAGAGCGATCACTGAATCACTGCACACTTAGCTAACATACCTCAAATTCAACAGCCCTTTCAGCCGTGGGGGCGTTATAATGTGACGGTCAATCCCACTATTCGTTGGCAAAATAGTAGCCCAAGAGTTGGCGGTGGGTAGTGATGACTAGCTGCCTTCCGTCTAGTCTTACACTGCTAAATTAGAGACGGCTAGCGCAGATAGCCCTCGTGTAGCTTTGCACGAAATTCAAAACAAACAAACAATCAAATTCAACAAATACTTTAACCAGTGCGATCACTGAATCACTGCACATCTAGCTAACGAAGATCCAAATACCTTATGCCTTGGTATTTAACTTCTAGTTGCAAAGAAGAGTCTCATTTAAGTAGGTTATTCTTACTTATAGAAAACATGATTAAGATACACTTTCCTGAACAATATTACATATATATCTATTTTATAAAAGCCTTGTAAGTTACTTTAAGAGTTATAATGTTATTTCAATAAGAATAAACAGAGATTTTACCTCTCACGTGCAGGTTCTAGTTAATCAACATGGAACAATATTGGATTGGATTAGATCTTCAGGAAGTGAGATCCCCACGGGATCTGTTCAAGGGGGAATCACCGCCGATGGAGAGACGTTATACATAGGGCGCACATGGCACGAAGGAACAGTAACGATTGGAAAAGTTCACCCTAGTCATGGAGTTCTTTACATCGCATACGGAGGCGGAGAACACGCTTACCCAGATTATGATATCTTGGTCGTGAGATCAGTTAATTTTTAAAGAAGAGAAACGTTTGTTTTCATAACAATGAAAAATGATCAATCACTTACATAGTCCTAATTATTAATAATCTCTGAGGATCGAAAATGTTACTCTTCATAAGACCTGGCATTAAAGTGTTTAAATTCTAGTGACAGTTGTCTACTCTCTTTTTATAAACCCAGTCAAAAACAAGTATACATATGTCTCTTACATGAACTCTAGATTCTACT